AATTTCGAAGGTAGAGAAAGAAATCTTGGACCCAAAGTCTACAAAAAAAATAGGAAATAAAAATTATATATCTTATTCTTAAACCCGAGGCAACGAATACTCTATTTCTTGAAATATAGATTTAATTTTGCACGTGAAGACAACAGATTTTCATGATAAACTTTCTCAAGGCAGAAAAACCAACTTCAATCATTGATATATCTTTAAAATCGAGGTTTCTCTTGTATCTTAAAAAGTATCTTTTTCTTCTCCTGTTTCTTCAAACTACTTTTTGCCCGATGCTTCATGTTTTTCCCTCGCCCTGGCTTAGTTTATTATCGTCCTGGTTTTATAGGATGTATTGAAATCTAGATTCTATCTAGAGATATTAACTCCGGACTAGACAAAATACTGGAGCAAAAACCTACCTCCCACGTGCTAAACAATATACCCTGAGTCAACATGTAAACAGGTTTCTTTAGATAATTTACAAGTTCTCAAACATTAGAATATAGTCACACCTATTTCAGTGTACTTTTGTTAATTACAAGGGCCTGTAATTGTGATTTCAATTGACCCCATTTACAACGGTACCGTTAAAAGCTTTGTCTGATCAAGTATGAAGTCAGAAAAACGACGATATCTTCCACATTTTTGATCAGATTAAGGCTTCAAGGGAACTGTTGTAAATTGTACATTGCCATCTTGGCAAGTAGGGACACTTGAAATTACGCGTACAGTCTCTTAAAATTTGTAAATAGTTGCAATTATTATCTTCAACAGCCAAACATTCCTTATTACTTTAAAAAGAATTTGACTAATATCTTTATTCATACTTTGCTTGTTTGTTTGTATGCAATAAACGTCAAAACGGCTAAACCGATTATAATTTCAAAAATTTGCCTCCAACAAAATTTGATTGTCATTAAATTTTTAAAATGAACGAAATTTTTTTTTGAAATCCGCGAATTTTATTTTACAATGTATGCAAAAGGAAAATGTTCACGATTGAAAAAGAAGACGGGCGCAAGCCTAGTTAACATGCAAATGATAATTTAAGAAAATAATTAAGCAATTCCCTTTCTGATAAAGACTTTAGACTGTTTGAAAAAAAAACTTAATCTTAAAATATATTTCAATATATTTGCATCCTTCTCAATTCTTAAGCTGAGGAAAAAGAAAATAAAGAATACAAATTTTTTTACCTTAACCTTCAAGTCCGAAATTAATTTTTTCTTCTTCAAATTTCCCTGTTCCCGTCCTAATGAAAACATCCTACTGCATCCCACTAGAACAATCCTACTCCGTCCTACTAAAATTCTTCCTACTCCATCTACTAGAGTTTATCCTTCTCCGTCCTGCTATAATTAAGCCTACTCCGTCCTACTAGAGTTCATCCTACTCCATCTACTAGAATAAGACAAAATGGACAGTATCGGAATTTATTGAAGTAAAAACATGTTTTTTGTTACTCTTCGTTCTCCAGTAGCATGAGAGAGGCTTTAGTATTTCTTCACACTAAATTTATTTTCAAAACATAGCTCTTAACTTTTTGATTTAGTATCAACAAGTAGTTTTAGTTGTAGCTGTAGTTGTAGTTGTAGTTTTAGTTGTAGTTGTAATTTTAGCTGTAGTTGTAGTTTTAGCTGTAGTTGTAGTTTTAGCTGTAGTTGTAGTTTTAGCTGTAGTTGTAGTTGTAGCTGTAGTTGTAGTTTTAGCTGTAGTTGTAGTTGTAGCTGTAGTTGTAGTTTTAGCTGTAGTTGTAGTTGTAGCTGTAGTTGTAGTTGTAGCTGTAGTTGTAACTGTAGTTGTAGTTTTAGCTGTAGTTGTAGTTGTAGCTGTTGTTGTAGTTTTAGCTGTTGGTGTAGTTGTAGCTGTAGTTGTAGTTGTAGCTGTAGTTGTAGTTGTAGCTGTAGTTGTAGTTGTAGCTGTAGGTGCAGTTAAAGAAATAGTATTTTTATTGTATTGTCCCCATTCACTACATTACACATTTCCCAGTCTATAGTATTATTGTATATTGTATAATTATCAAATACCGAACCCAGTATTTTATCAATGGTTGAATCAAATACAAGGTTGGGATAATCCGTGACAAATGTCGGAATTGAGTAAAATATTTCAGGAAGGAGCAGATTCCACCTGAACCCTGCTGTCGGAGAGTATTAATCCACCCACCCGGAGCAGGTTCAATCTCATGGAGCTGAACCTTGCACTTGAACCCTGAAATAGAAAGACAAATTAGGGTTCGTTGATACACCTACTTACAGACAGTGAATGTAAGAGATCCTTGAATTATTAGGAATTGCACCAGGAGTGCAGTGGGAGGGGGGGGGGGCTGTTTCCCAGGGGGCCTGCTTGGAATTTGATATTGGAAAATTTTCTTGATGGAATTAGATTTGAATGTCAATCTTGTTAAATCCTAATGAGTTCTCAGTTCCCTGTCTTGGAACCAGCAGGACTGATGCATTGCTTAATCTCCGCATACCTTCTAGACCAGGTGGAGAAGGTTCAGCTCCTGCCGAATACATTCCTCACATAGCAACACCCAGAGCGGATATGATCTATTGGCTTCTCGTGTACTGAGTTAATCCTAGGTTTTTGATTAAAATTATCAATGATTACTTGTAATTCAGGAGTATAGGATGATAGGGATTAGGGAGGAGTAGGATGTTTTAAACAATTCAATGATTTTTTATGATCCTGAACGTGATCCTAGTTCTGAGCTTGAATCATGATCTAAATCCTGATCCTGATCCTAACCTTAGTCCTAGTTCATGATTATGATTCTGATCCTAATTCTTCACCTGAACCTGATCATGATCATAATCTTAGTCCTGATCCTAGTCCTAATTCTGATCCTGATCCTCATCCAAATCTTAATTATGATCCTAATCCTTGTCCTGCTCCTATTTCTAAGCCTAATCCTAATCCAAATTCTAATCTAGAAAGGATTCTAAATCTTATCCTTATACTTGTTCTAATTATAATCCTGAGCCCAATACTTATTCATATTCTAACCATAATCCTGATCCTTATTCTTATCCTAATACTTATTTTAATCCTGATCCTTATTCTAATCCTAATTCTTATTCTTATCCTGATACTTACTCTAATATTCTAATCCTAATATTTATTCTAATCCTGATCTTTATTATAATCCTAATCATTAATCTAATCTTGATCCCAATACTTATTCTAATTCTAACCCTAATCCTTATTATAATCCGATCCTTATTATCATACTAATCCTAATCCTAATCCTGATCCTTATTCTAAACATGATTCTTATTCTAATCCCGATCCTTATTCCAATCCTATCATTAATCTTTTCCTAATCTCCGTCTTGGTCCAGATCTGGATCCTGATATTAAAAGTTTTAGTTGTGTTTATACTTCCTGTTGGATGAGTCTCTTTCCTTACATAAAAGTTTCCATGTTTAGTTAAGAAGTTTATTGTCTGGTTCAGGTTGGGGTGAGATAAAGAGATAAACCCTCCTTCTACTCTCTTAAACCCGTCCTACCGTATAATGTGGTGTTTACAGCACGTGTTTCTAATTAGTTCCGGAGTCTGGTTCCTGTTCAAACGTTTCCCGCTGTGGTTCCGGTTCTCTGGGTCTCTTCTTAAACTGGTCGGAATTTATCTGAGTTTTTATTGTGGTTTGAAACCATCTTCTCTCACCTTCTGATTACTAGTTCATGGTGGGTGAGCACGGAATCCAATCCGTTCTAATTGCTCGGTTTGTGTTTTAACACGATCCTAACGAGGTTCGGATTCTCTCGTTACATAAATGCACTGATTGTAAGGAATGAGGTTTCTCCAGTTTTAATTCTACATAGGTGAACAGTTTAAAGGGAGGAGTCACGAAAGATGAAAAGAGGTTTAGAATGAACTATGGTTAAGTTATCTTCACAAAAATATATAATTTTATTAGTTTTGTACTTTTTTAGGTGAATTCACTTCTGCTTGATAACTTTCTCAGTGCAGCCGGAATTCATCCGACTTGGGCACTGACAACCTTTCTAAAACGTGCACTTTTCCTTTAAATAAGACTGTATCTAGAGCCTACTGTTTCAATAATTATTGATCATAAAATCATTTTACAGCGTTTGATCGTGCCTAACTTAGGGTGGATATAAGTCCAACCCACCTTGCAAATTGTTTTAAATCTCATGTGTTTAATACTTAAAGAGACTAAATACGTAATTTCAAATGAACCGTTCATTTATAATGTGGCATGTCCGATTCTCAATAGTACCCTTTAAACCTTTGTTCATTATCATGGATTAATGAGATATCATTAGATATATATATAAATAGAAGGTTAATTGAAATTACTGATACAATACCTTTATATGATTTTACCGAGTCAATAGAATAAGGTGTCTGATGCCATTTTATGCGAAATGGGTTTTCATCTCATAACAGTTGATATGATAAAACTTATACATATTTTCAAATTGAGGTGAGAGAACGGATAGATCACATAAAATATCCGGGTCGGTGCTAGAGCACTGAGAATATTCGTATCTCCCACGAGTCCGGAGAGGGACGGTTCGGATCCATTAAATTCAGGTTTATGTCATCCATACACTATAATTAGATACTATAAAATTGACCATAAAAGAATTGGAGATTTCAAATCGTAAACCTAAAATTGAAGAATATTCAGGCATAGGTTACACTCGACCTAGTATTTTATACTCAAATAAATCCAAGGTTTTAGAATTGAGATAAGTATCTCTTCTCTCTGGCTTAAAGATAATAATTATCCAGGATTATTTATACCACTAGAAAGAGATTAGGCTGGGAGAGATCCTATCATCTATGTTACTCTAGGCTCAGGTTCCAACCAAACCCTAATTAGTAGAATCTAAACGGGTTTTAAGTTTTTAAAGTTTTGTCTTTTGAACTTAGTTCCTTGATTTAAGTTCTAGTTCTAGTTCAAGTTCTAGTTCTAGTTCTAGTTCTAGTTCTAGTTCTAGTTCTAGTTCTAGTTCTAGTTCTAGTTCTAGTTCTAGTTCTAGTTCTAGTTCTTGTTCAATAAGATGAGAAGTTAAGATGAGTAGTTAAGATGAGAAGTTAAGATTTGAAGTAAAGATGAGAAGTTAAGATGAGAAGTTAAGAAAAGAGGTTAAGATGAGAAGTTAAGATGAGAAGTTAAAATGAGAAGTTAACATGAGAAGTTAAGATGAGAAGTAAAGATGAGAAGGTTATATGAAAGCATAGTGAATCTGCATATATTCTCCATCTGACCGTATAAACGTGTATCTAGGTAGCTTCAAGCCAGAGCAACCTTTAACCCTTTAATTTATGCCTAGGGTTCAGATATACCCTTTACTCACATGTATAATATATAGGCGGGGAGGGGTTGTTGTTGTTGTAAGATAGAAGGATTAGGAAGTAGGTTAAATGGATCTTAACTTTAACTTATTCTAGAACTAAAAAAGGACCCTGAACTGTAATTTAATCTAGAAATAGAAAGGACTCTGAACTGTAATTTAATCTAGAACTAGAAAGGACCCTGAACTGTTATTTAATCTAGACATAGAAAGGACTCTGAACTGTAATTTAATATAGAACTAGAAAGGACCCTGAACTGTAATTTAATCTAGAACTAGAAAGGACCCTCAACTCCAATTTAATCTAGAACTAGAAAGGACCCTCAACTGTAACCTAATCTAGAACTAGAAAAGAACCTGAACTGTAACGTAATCTAGAACTAGAAAGGACCCTGAACTGTAACCAACTCTAGAACTAGAAAGGACCCTGAACTGTAACCAACTCTAGAACTAGAAAGGACCCTGAACTGTAACCTATTGTAGAGCTAGAGGGTCTAAACTGTAACCTAATCTAGAACTAGAAAGGACCCTGAACTGTAACCAACTCTAGAACTAGAAAGGACCCTGAACTGTAACCAACTCTAGAACTAGAAAGGACCCTGAACTGTAACCAACTCTAGAATTAGAAATGACCCTGAACTGTAACCAACTCTAGAACTTAAAAGGACCCTGAACCAACTGTAGAACTTTAAAGGACCCTGAACTAAAACCAACTCTAGAACTAGAAATGACCCTGAACTGTAACCAACTCTATAACTTAAAAGGACCCTGAACTGTAACCAACTCTAGAACAAGAAAGGAATCTGAACTGTAACCTACTCTAGAACAAGAAAGGAACCTGAACTGTAACCTACTCTAGAACTAGAAAGGAACCTGAACTGTAAACTACTGTAGAGCTAGAGGGCCCTGAACTGTAACCTACTCTAGAACTAGAAAGGAACCTGAACTGTAACCTATTGTAGAGCTAGAGGGTCTAAACTGTAACCTAATCTAGAACTAGAAAGGACCCTGAACTGTAAGTTTGTATCCTACAAATCTATGGCTGCAGTTGCTTATAAAAGATTAGTTTTCTATAATAATAAATGCTGCACACAAGTAGCTGGATAGTTCCACCCCAGCACAGGAATTTCAGAATCATTTATCAAAGATATTTTTATTCTACTCCAGGGGGAGAATTCTGATATTGAAACCATCGTCAAGATGGTTTTGAAATCCACCTGAAAGAGGTTCGTTTATTATTTTGGAAAATTCCTAGGATTCGGTTTAAAGGGAATGTAACTGTAATTTCAAGTGACCCTCTCTGCTGAGATAGCAATGCCCGATTTACAACGGTACCCTTCAAACTTCTGATCAAAATGTGGAAGATAACGTTTTTTTTACTCAAAAATTGTTCTATCCACCTTCTTCCCCCTCTCCACCTTTTTCTTATTCCGCCTATTCTACCTCCCATCCTCTTCTCCTTTCTCCATGTTCTCCCCCCTCCCATTCTTTTATTCCAATTCCAACCTTCTATCTTCTCCTCTTCCCCTTTTATCTCCCCACGAGCTGTCTTATGTCCTGTCAAGTTAACTTTTCATGGATCTCACTAATTCTGATATTTCTCAGGGTATAACATAGAACTCAGAGAATAACTCAACCATGAAAACTAATTCAGATGAAATCAACCCTTTTATAATCTAAATAGTGAATGATTACTTAAAATCAACAATTCTTATTTCAAACCATGTTAAGATCGGAAAGCCCTAGGTTCGTTGCATCGTGCACGTTCTTTTTTAAATCTGACAAATTATATAACATTACTAAGCTAGCCCCATATATCACCAAAATTACATTGGTTCCGCTTTAAATTAGAAATTTTTTAATGTGACCCTTTAACAACAAATTATGTCGTGACTGCTTGAAGTAAGGACACTGGTCGATTTCTGATCCACGAAAACTACTCCCCCCGCCCCCCCCCTAAACCCTATATTTTATAAAATGTCCTTGTATGTATGTTGACAAGATAGGTGGGTGACAGGCCTATTATTAAGAATGAAATGAGAGGATCGGAAAGGAATGATTTATATAACATACCTACACCCCGACCCTGTAATATAAAACATTTTGTCCAAATTTTCTCAATTTTTTCCCAATTTTGATCTAAAATTGTTTCAATTCCGCGTCAGAAAAAGGTTTATCTGATCTACTTAACAGATACAGAAAACAAGGTTAGCTATCTTCAAGCTACAGGATTACCCACAAAACAAGAGACTTCAGAGACGACTGTAGGTAACTTGTTCAGTCTTATTTCTTACGTTTTAGCTTCTGACAGCTTTGTAAGTTTTAATTTATTCACGAAATCAGTAAATACACCATTTAAAACGAAAGGTTTGAATCTTTAGCTTCTAGGTTAAATCTTTAGCTACTAGTTCCACACCTTGGGTTGAGATTGGATGAGATCAATTGGAAATGAACCCTGATAAGAAAATATTCTGTTAGTGCCTCCACCCACTGCTCAGAGCTTACCTTTGAAAAATGATTAGAAGTAGAATTAATTAGACTGGATAAAAGGTTTTGAATGATGGACTGATGAACAAAGAAGCTAATTGTTATAAGACTGAAAAACTGTGGCTACCCACACAAACTTGAAATAAATCATTTCTGAATCATGGCTAGGTTTCTTTTCTCTCAGATTTCTGAATCATGGCTAGGTTTGTTTTCTCTCAGATTTTTCTAGACTACCCTAATCTTTTCTCTCCTACGTTACTCAATTCTCTTTTCCATTCTACTCTATATTCTCTGACCCTATTCTATTCTCCTGTTCTCATATTCTTCTTTCCTCCTAATCCTACTCAATTTTCTTCTCTTTTAGCCTACTCTTTTCTCCTATTCTCATATTTTCCTATTCTCCAATTGTCTTTTTCTCTTAACCCTACTCTATTCTTTCTTCAGTCCTAATCTTTTCTCTCCAATCCTACTATTTTCTCTCTCCAACCCCATTCAATTCTCTCTCATATCCTACTCTATTATCCTAGTATCTTATTCTCCTTTCCTCCTATTCTCCAATTCTTCTTTTCTCCTTTTCTCCTTTTCTCCTATTCTCCTTTTCTCCTATTCTCCTTTTCTCCTATTCTCCTTTTCTCCTATTCTCAATTTATCCTAATCTCTTTTTCTCCTATTCTCAATTTCTCCTATTCTCCTTTTCTTCTATCCTCCTTTTCTCCTATTCTCCTTTTCTCCTATTCTCAATTTCTCCTATTCTCTTTCTTTCTTCAACCCTAATATTTTCTCTACAATCCTACTAATTTCTCTCTCCAACTCTACTCAATTCTCTCTCCTATTCAACTCTATTATCATATTCTCCTGTTCTCCTATTCTCCTTTTCTCCTTTTCTTCTATTTTCAATTTCTCCTAATCTCTTTTTGTTCTAACCCTACTCCATTCTTTCTTCAACCCTAATCTTTTCTCTCCAACCTTACTATTTTCTCCCTCCAACCCTACTCAATTCTCTCTCCTATCCTACATTATTCTCTCCTACCCTACTCTTTTCTCCTTTTCTGCTTTTCTCCATTTCTCCTACCCGTACTATTTTTTCTCCATCCCTACTAAATTTGCTCTCCTATCCTACTCTTTTCTCTCCTACCCTACTCTGTTCTCCTGTTCTCCTATTCTTCTTTTCTCCTAACCCTACTCTATTTTCTCCTGAATTTGTTTTTTTTTCTCTTAAACCTACTCTTTTCTCTCCAACCCCACTATTTTCTCTCCTAAACCTACTCTATTCTCCTATTTTTCTAACCCTACTCTATTTTTCTCTTACCCTACTCTTTTCTCTCCTAAATACCTTTCTCCGTGCCCCCCTGAACCACTTCCATTGTATCCAACCACCTTGATTTACTAGGACCGGTAAAAACGTATAATTATCTATGAAATTCAATTTATTACTGTGCCGGGGCGCTTTTATCTTTGATTAAGATAATTTTTATGGTTGAATGGTTTACTTTCATTAATTGAAAGAAATACCACTAAATTTTTTTATTTTTGAGTTATTAATACAGAACTTTATAAATGGAATGAAATTTAAATTCAAGAAAATACTTTAATTAGGAAGAGGAAGGAATCAAGAAAATGTTGTGGGAACAGAGAATTATAAAGAGATTTGATGAAAATAAAAAATACCCAATTTGTAAAAAAAGGGGATTTTATGTCTGGAAGGGGATTGAGCATATCAAAGAGGATTGAATGGAAGGAAAGAGATTATGGATTATAATGAGGATTGAATGTAAGTGTTAGGGATTGAGAATTATAAAGATGATTGAAGGCACGGAAAGGGATTGTGGATTATAAAGAGGATTGAATGTAAGGAAAGGGATTGAGAATTATGAAGAAGATTGAATGTAAGGAAAGGAATTTAGGATATGAAAAGGATTGAATGTAAGTGTTAGGGTAGGATTGGGTAGGGTGGGAGAAGGTTGGGTAGGATAGGAGAAGAGTAGAGAAAGATAGGAGAAGGCTAGGGTAGGATAGGAGAAGGGTAGGGTAGGATACGAGAAGGATAGAGTAGAATACGAGAAGGGTAGGGTAGGATACGAGAAGGGTAGGTTAGGATAGGAAAAGGGTTGGGTAGGATAGGAAAAGAATAGGGTAGGATAGGAGAAGGGTAGGGTAGGATAGGAGAAGGGTAGGGTAGGATAGGAAAAGGGTTGGGTAGGATAGGAGAAGGGTTGGGTAGGATAGGAGAAGGGTAGGGTAGGATAGGAGAAGGGTAGGGTAGGATAGGAGAAGGGTAGGGTAGGATAGGAGAAGAGCTGGCTAGGATAGGTGAAGAGTAGCGTAGGATAGGAAAAGGGTAGGGCAGGCTAGAAGAAGGGGAGGATAGGTGAAGAGTAGGATAGGAGAAGGGTAGGATAGGAGAAGGGTAGGAGAAGGGTTGGGGAGGATAGGAGGGTAGGGTAGGATAGAAAAAGGATAGGATCGGAGAAGGTAGGGTAGGATAGGATAAGGGTAGGTTAGTATAGGACAAGGGTAGGGTAGGAAAGGAAAAGAGTAGGATTGGTTCAGGGTAGGGTAGGAGAAGGGTAGGATAGGAGAAGGGTAGGGCAGGATAGGAGAAGGGTAGGGTAGGAAAGGAGAAGGGCAGGGTAGGATAGGAGAAGGGTAGGGTAGGATAGGAGAAGAGTAGAGAAAGATAGGAGAAGGGTAGGGTAGGATAGGAGAAGGGTAGGGTAGGATTGGAGAAGGGTTGGGTAGGATAGGAGAAGGGTAGGTTAGGATAGGAGAAGGGTAGGGTAGAATAGGGGAAGGGTTGGGTAGGATAAGAGAAGGTTTGGTTAGGATAGGAGAAGGGTAGGGTAGAATAGGGGAAGGGTTGGGTAGGATAGGAGAAGGGTTGGGTAGGATGGGAGAAGGGTAGGTTAGGATAGGAGAAGGGTAGGGTACAATAGGGGAAGGGTTGGGTAGGATAGGAGAAGGGTAGGGTAGGATAGGAGAAGGGTAGGGTAGGATAGGAGAAGGGTAGGGTACAATAGGGGAAGGGTTGGGTAGAATAGGAGAAGGGTAGGGTAGGATAGGAGAAGGGTAGGGTAGAATAGGGGAAGGGTTGGGTAGAGTATGTTCAGGGGGTTGCATGAGTAAATGTTTGGTTTTGATGTTTAATGAGATATTTGAAGGAATATATTGGCTGGAGTTTGAAGTTCTGGAGTCTGCATCATTTACTTCTTTTATCAGTTCTTATAATTCACAGTAAACTCCAGGTTCATCATAGATAGATAGTTACTCCGATAGAGATGTTACATGCTACAAGGATGGATGGATGGACGGATGGATGAATCTATGAATAAATGGATGAATTATACTTGATACTGAAAAAGGGTGAAAAACATTAGAAAGGGTATGACACTCAAGCATTCATAATAAACCACATAGACATAGAGAAATACCCACCCTTCCCTACTCCCCGCCATCTACCCCCCCTTCTCTACTCCCCGCCATCTTCGAACAAATAACGCAAGGGGATCCCCCCCCCCCTTCTTGACACCTGTCCATCCCAAACCCTGAGTATTCAAATTCTGTGAACATTGAAGAAATATTAAATCTCACTAATTATCTCTGCTCGGAGATTGTATAATTATTTGAGCCAATACGTCCTACACCTTGAGAACGTGAACCATAAGGATACATGTCCCGTGAGAAAAATGTAAAATTTTGAATAAATAATTGTATGCAAGAAGGGGGTTATTAGTCCAAATAAAGGGAGAGAAGGTGGGTTAAACAAAATATAGATATTTGTTCTGTTAAAGAGAAAGTTTTCAAATTTTAGAACTCGATGGTTACGGTTTAAAACTAGGATCTTTTTTGTTCAGAACAGAAATGCTGAGCAACATTAATTGAAATATGGGGGGGGGGGCATTCCCCCCCTCAAATTAGTCCAATTATGTGCGTTCTCCTCCAACATAAAAGTTAGCATTCAAGAATCAAAAAATCTTTCAGATATTGAAACATTTGAGCAGAAAATTAGTTGTTTCCTATTTTTCACTTTTATATAAGGTGGTGTAGAGGGGGGGGGGTGACATTGTGTGGTTTTGTTGTTGTTAAAGGCTAAGTGTGTAGAGTGTGTATCTAAGTAGCGTTAAAGAAGGGTTAAACCTTTGACCTATTGATGCCAAGGTGTATTGTTCTCAACACTTCTTATCAAGTTTTAGCCAGTTAGTAGAGATTCAACCCATCCTACCCTAGTAGTTAGTAGAGATTCAACCCATCCTACCCTAGTAGTTAGTAGAGATTCAACCAATCCTACCTTAGTAGCTAGTAGAGATTCAACCCATCCTACCCTAGTAGCTAGTAGAGATTCAACCCATCCTACCCTAGTAGTTAGTAGAGATTCAACCAATCCTACCTTAGTAGTTAGTAGAGATTCAACCCATCCTACCATAGTAGTTAGTAGAGATTCAACCCATCCTACCCTAGTAGTTAGTAGAGATTCAACCCGTCCTACCCTAGTAGTTAGTAGAGATTCAACCCATCCTACCCTAGTAGTTAGTAGAGATTCAACTTCAACCCATCCTAACCTAGTAGTTGATAGAGATTCAACCCGTCCCAACCTTCAATACTTCATAATCTAGTAGCTATGAGGGATTCAACACTTCCTTACCAAGAAGTTAGGAGGGATTCAACCCGTCCCAACCTTCAATACTTCATAATCTAGTAGCTAGGAGGGATTCAACACTTCCTTACCAAGAAGTTAGGAGGGATTCAACCCGTCCCAACCTTGGAGTTAGAAGAAATACAACCCGTCGTAATCTAAAAGTATAGTAGAGATTCAACCCGCCCTAACCTGAGAGTTAGGGGAGATTCAACCCGTCCTAACCTGGGAGTTAGGGGAGATTCAACCCGTCCTAACCTGGGAGTTAGTAGAGATTCAACTCGTCCTAATCTAGAAGTTAGGAGATATACAACCCGTCGTAATCAAGTAGTTAGTAGAGATACAACCTGTCGTAACCTAGTAGTTAGTAGAGATACAACCTGTCGTAACCTAGTAGTTAGTAGAGATTCAATCCTTCCAACATTCAATCCCTCCTAACCTAGAAGTAAGATGGGATTCAACCCGTCCTCACCTAGTTGTTAGTAAAGAGTCAACTCTGCCTAATCTAATAGAATTCAACTCGTCCTAAGTAAGTAGAAAGAAGAATTCAACACTTATTAACATTCAGCCCTTCCTAACTTCGTAGGCCAAAATCAAGGTAATTATAAGGACAGTTATTGCATGAATCTGGTCTATTTTAATGGTTAACAAATTTAAAAACAAAAATGATTTAAATGAACTCTCTCTTAATTCCCATGTTTAGAAAATTTGGTTGGTATTTTAAAATTACGTTAATACGTTGCTAATATAGTAAGTACATTGTAAAATAATCCAGTCCGTAAAAGTATGAATTGAAATTAAAATTGTGACGTATTTTTCAAAAAATGATCTCCTTTATTTATTCTTATCATATTTGGTCGGAATCTCATTAAACATGCAGTAGGTCAAGCGTAACACACACACCTACGATGCGTCGAACAAACAAACAGAAGAACTCTAGCGCAAGTCTGATCCGTATATCTTGAAACATCTTTATTGCCGGAGATCTGAACGAACGCGTCAATATTTTGACTCGAGCCATTAGTTCAGATTATATCATTTCCTAGATAATGTTTACAGGGTTCAGAGTAGAAACCTAGCTCAATATAAACCTAGTTATTACAGGGTTCAGAGCAGAAACCAAGCTTAATATATACCTAGATATTACAGGGTTCAGAGTAGAAACCTAGCTCAATATAAACCTAGATAATACGGGGTTCAGAGTAGAAACCTAGCTCAATATAAACCTAGATAAAAAAGGTTCAGAGTAGAAACCTAGCTCAATATATACCTAGATAATACAGGGTTCAGAGTAGAAACCTAGCTCAATATAAACCTAGATAAAAAAGGTTCAGAGTAGAAACCTAGCTCAATATATACCAAGATATTACAGGGTTCAAAGTAGAAACCTAGCTCAATATATACATAAATAATACAGGGTTCAGAGTAGAAACCTATCTCAATATATACCTAAATAATAAAGGGTGTAGAGTAGAAACCTAGCTCAATATATACCTAAATAATACAGGGTGTAAAGTAGAAACCTATAGTTTAATACATACCTAATTAATTCAGGGTTCAGAGTAGAAATTCCTAGTTCAATATATACCTAATTAATTCAGGGTTCAGAGTAGAAACCTAGCTCAATATATACCTAATTAATTCTGAGTTCAGAGTAGAAACCTAGCTCAATATATACCTAGATAATTCATGGTTCAGAGTAGAAATTCCTAGTTCAATATTTACTTAGATAATTCAGGGTTCAGAGTAAAAATTCCTAGTATAATATATACCTAGCTAAATACAGGGTGCAGAGTAGAAACTTATAGTTCAACATATACCTAGCTAATACAGGGTGCAGAGTAGAAACCTATAGTTCAACATATACCTATCTAATACAGGGTGCAGAGTAGAAACCTATAGTTCAATATATACCTAGATAATACAGGGTGTAGAGTAGAAACCTATAGTTCAATATATACCTAGATAATACAGGGTGTAGAGTAGGAACCTTTAGTTCAATATATACCTAGATAATACAGGGTGTAGAGTAGGAACCTATAGTTTAATATATACCTAGATAATACAGGGTGTAGAGTAGGAACCTATAGTTTAATATATACCTAGATAATACAGGGTGTAGAGTATAAACCTATAGTTCAATACATACTTATCTAATACAGGGTGTAGAGTATAAACCTAAAGTTCAATATAAACCTAAAGTAAGCCTGCTGTTACCCCGGATTTTAAAATGAGGAATGACAAGAAATTCCTGATTAAATTATCTGGGTAAAATTATAAATCAGAGCCCCAGAACACCACACCACTCTTCACCCCTATACCCATTAGAAAGTAAAATAAGCACAGTAATAAACATAAACCAGTGGAAAGATTGTCGTCGTCGTCCTTTCTTTTCTTTTGTAATGTTTATCTCTAAGAACTACTTTTCTAGTAGAAGTAACTCTGTAATTAGGCGTCCATGGTAAGACCTTCCCTCCCCGGTATAAAGTATGTAATGAAGCGCCCCTGTTTCGGCCCCCCTCCACGGTATAAAGTATGTAATGCAGTGCCCCTGTTTAGACCCCCCTCCCCGGTATTAGGTATGTAATGAAGCGCCCCTGTAAATGAAGCTGAGAATAATGTTTAAGGTTAGAAAGGCCTGCCTGTTTAACTATTAATCATAGGATTCCAATTAAAGTTCTAGCTCCGCTCTTATCTCTAATTACATTTCATTTGTGTTTAGCTCTCCGCTCTTAGCTTTTTGCTGAAACAGAGAGCAAAACATTTCTTGAATTTAAAACAAAAAGATAAAGCTGTTTCCTGTCCAGAACCCTTTAACAAGGACTTCTTCAACCTCCAAAAATATGAATGAAAATGAAAAGTATCATCTTTGTGTGTGGGTTGGTGGGGGGGGGGTTGTGAGTTTAAGTCTTTTTAGGCGCACTAATGAGGTTATAAAAAATACATGCCTTTGGGGGTCCTATAACCCCAACTATAACTCCTGAATCTTAAGTTTCCTAAAATTCTTGTTTTCTTGATCTCTAGTTCCTTGATCCCTAGTCCCTTGATTTCTGTTTTTCTAAAATACAAGTTCCTTGATCTCTAGTTCCTTGATCCTTAGTCTTTTAAATTCCTATTTTTATGATCTCTAGTTTTGTAAATCCCTATTTCCTTGATCTTACTTTCGTTTTTTTTTTATAAATATAGAGTTGTTAGTTCTCTAATTTCAAGAATCCTTAGTACCTTGATCCTTGGTTTTATAAATCCCTGTTTTCTTAATGTCTCGTTTTATAAATTCCTGTTTCCAAATTTCGGTTCTTTAAATCCCTCATTACATAGCCCCTAGTTTTTTTGATCCCGTATTTCATGATCTCTAGTTTTTAAATCCCTTGTTCCAAAACCCCTTGTTTTCCTGATCCCTTTCTCCGTGATCCCTTGTTTTTAAAATCCCCTATTCCACAACCTCTATTCTTCTTAATCTTTTACTCCATGATATCTGATTTTTTTA